CTTCAAAGTCCATTCTGAACTGTTGTGTGTAATATTTATATGTTTCAGGAAAATATACTTCATTTTTCACTTGCACACTGTGCGTGCATCTACACGAAATGCTAACTGTGCAGTAGCCTAATAACACTATGCAGTAGTGTGCCAGGCAAAACCCATGCTAATACGCTACTGTGCATTAGTATTAGGCTACTACACAGTTAGCGTCTTTGAAAACCTCATGTGCCAGCACTGCTGATATTGTACGTTGATTTAGTGCTTGGTTATACAAGTACTAAACTTAATGCATGGTAGTGCACCTCTTGTTTTTTTAATTCTCTGGTTGCCAGGGAAAATGTATGTCAGGTCAACATAAGTAATACAAATAAAGAAATAAAACAGTGTAATTCTTGGTAGTATATTTTACTGTGTTTTTACAGGGTACAGCAAGGTGTCATATTTGAATAGTGCAGTCATTTTTAAAAGTTATATGGTGCCATCCTCTACTGGAGATGAGTATCTGTAGGAAACCAACGATACTGGTAGGGGGGTTGTTTTGTTTTGCTTGTTAAAGCACAGGATGAAGACTTCTTCTGATATAGAACCCTTTTCTTTTCTGTGCAATGACAGGAAGTTATTGCACAATAAATGTACAGAAGTTGTGGATATTAGTAAATCATTTGATAATAACCTAATGTCTGAACATCCATACAAAATGGTTAATTAAAAGTGTTCATGGAGGCGGATGTGTCCAATGTAGAATTCATATTATTAGCAGTAGTGTTGTGGTTTGTCTTATTCAGCATTTATAGTTTTCAGTAGTAGAACTGGAATTAAATATTTGAGTTCATGGGTATTTTGATGCCAGACAGATCTATACTCATGTATTCAGTATTGTGATGCCTTAATTTGAATATATACCATAATTGGTTTTGCTGTCTTAATTTTCTCCTATTTCTGGTTATTCTCTTTTGGTTTGACTGTTACTGCACTTTCAGCTCTATTTTTTGACTACAGTTAAAGAATCATATTTTTTCATGTACTGAATAGGTATAATATTCTTTCCTTTGCAGCTTGTTAGATATAGTCAACTCTTTCCAAGATTCTGATGCAAAAATATTATTTCAGGCAATTGCGTTATGAATGGAGTGAAATAAATACCACATGTAGGGTAGTTCAAGGTAATGCCTCATTTGTTTATGGCTATGAGTACTTGGGCTGTTCTTCTCGGTTGGTTATTACACCCCTCACTGACCGATGCTGGTTAACCCTTACTGGAGCATTGCACTTGAATCTTGGAGGCTGTCCTGCTGGTCCAGCTGGCACAGGAAAAACAGAGACTGTCAAAGATCTATCAAAAGTAAGTACCATATATTGATATGACAGAGAAATAACTAGGTGTATTGATTTAATTTCATTCTGGAAAACTTGTAGCCAATCATTTTTTCTATTCCATATCATCCTTTCTGATAATAATACTTTACACTTTCAAAATATGGAAGTGGTCTAGCATTGTTGAAGGCTCCTGGACTAAGCCTCACCCTTCAGTTCAAGTACCATATTTTTTACTTTCAGCACTAGCACAGGTTGGGGTTTCAGCTTCTAACCACTTTTTATAACTTCAATTTTTTTTTGTCTTGTGGAGATGACCTTGAGTTTTTGATACTTCTTTCTGTTATCTGAGGTGGGGGATTACTGACATATTAAGGCTTTAACTTGCTGGGGTTTTTTAGAGCTCACCAGCACTTCAGCAGAGCTCTCTGCATGTGCTGGAAGCTCTGTGAACTCCACTACCTGTTAGCAAGGGCTCTGCTCAGAGAGAGTCCCTGCTTTCAAGCAGCTCTGGAGCCTTCTGGTCTTGGTCCCCCCCACCCCCCCAGCTGAATTCAGTAATAGGGAAAGGGAAGCCTTGTTTTCACTCAGCTCTGGGGTGCTTTAATTACAGCAGCCCTCAGGAGCCGTTCTAATTAAAGCTCCCATAACGTCTTGTGTATTCATCATCCCACACTTCAAAATAACAGTGGAGGTGCTTTAACTAAAGCTCATTCAGTACCCTAGCTAATTAGCACATGCTACCTAGCACATGTTGGAGCAGGGTGTTGGGCACATATATAGGTGCCCTTAATGTGTAAAATCCTAATTGAAAACAAGGTACTTTGTATTTTTTTACTGCAAGGTAATCAAATGAGATGAAATTACATATTTTTGCTTCTTGTTGACCTGAACGAATTCATTTTGTAGTAAAACCATAGGGCATTTATACACATACCTTTTTGTCCCACAACATCCCACAGATCCTCTCCTTCAAAGCAGACTCAATAAATTGAGTCTACTCTGCATGTGAGATGATGTGAACTGCACTGTACCACGTGCAGTTGTATAAGTAATGATATGCGCAGAAAATGACAGCGGTGCACTTTTGAACTAAAACACCTCCTATGTGTTTTAGTCCAAAAGCTCACTGCCGCCATTTTTTCAGTGCTGACACACATTTTGCTGCCTATACAATTGCAAGCAATGCAGTGCCAGACACTTTTCAAAATGCCCAACACTGCAGTGCTTGCATATATAAAAATGTCCCTTGTGTTTTGTTTCTACTGTATTTTTACAGTGGCATAGCTAATACATGCTAGTTATTCTAATATTTTTTGTCAGCAAAATTATTCACTATGCTTTTATTAGGAATGCTTAATTAGTATGGTAAACTAAGTCAGCAAAACACTTTTAGGGCACCAACAGATGTGCAGCTCCCTGGTCTAACTCACGGCCTTTTAGAGAAAGTACCATGAGTTAGACTGATCCTCCTGACCAATAGACATTCACTGTTGGATAGAGAGGGTGGAGGATTTTGCTCCACTTTGGAGCCAAGAGAGGCTGTGTATCTACAGCCTCTTCCCCTAGCCCCACCCCCCACTCTCCCAGGTCTGGTGCTCTCTTAGGATGGGAGGAGGAGAAGGCGGGGGAGGGAGGTCTGTTCTGGATTTGGGGGTGGGGGGTGTGAATTGGACTGACCCCTCCCTCCACCTCAGGGTGGGGCTCCAATCCACTCACCCCACCCTGAAACAGCCCAGCCCTACTCCCAACATACACTAACAGAAGTTAATGAAGGTACTCTGCTTTGGAGCGAGCACCTTCATCTGAACCCTCAAGTAATGAGAGTTAATTTATTGTGTGATTGAGCACTTTTTAAAGCAGTCTGCAGCTATGAAGTTCTGTCAGTGCATGGCTGTAGAACACATTAGGTGGCTAGTTGTATGACAAAATGTCACTTCTGTCAGCGCCCTGTGCGACACAGGATACCTATGATTTGACTCAGTAAATGGCAATTCTTATGTTCCTACCTGCTTAAATGAGCTCTGAAAAAGTTAACCATGTTGACATTTAAAATACTGACTATCTCTGTTATTGGAGTTTGTACCCATTAATAAAAATGAAGCAGTTCATACCTCAGCTCTCTTGTTTTAGACTTTCCAAAAACATAGGCTATGGATGGGTATATTAATCACATGATAAAATGTCACTTCTGTCAGCACATTTACTACAAATGCAACTGTTGGGTCAGGAGGAATGCTGTAACAAGTGGTGCTTCCTGTGAAGCACCATGAATTACAGCAGGGAGCTGCACATCTGTCGGAACCCACAGTAGCAGAGAGTGACCTGGGTTTTTTCTACTGTTTCCACTGACCAGGATTTTTTTCCCCCCTTTCTCTCCCACTTGCAGCCACCACCATTTAAGGTTTAGGAAGTTCTGATTCAGAGTCTGTGAGCTCATCTACATGTGCATGCTCCAAGGTGTGCTCTACAGTAAACCCACCCTGGGCAGGCATCTACACATGTAGGGAAGCAGGAGCAGATTTGCTTTTCATGGCAACAGTCTGCTCCTGCCCCCTCTGCCCCACAGCAGCCCCCTACAGCAGCCAGGGGGAGCTCTAGGCTCCCCCTGGGTGCTAGCCTAAGGGCTGGCAGGGAGCTGTCTCCTGTCAGGGGCTGGAACATTGCTCCTTGCCCCTGGGAGTTGCCTGATGCTGGGGCGGGCTTTGCCACCAGAGCCCAGGCAGGGACAACATCTCCCTGCCTTGGCAGCAGGGAGCTTCCAGCCCTGACTCTGCAATCCGTGGAGTGGGGGCTGGGAAATTCTTATCTCCCAGCACCAGCTCCACAGTCATGGGGCCAGTGCTGGGAGATACTTACCCTGCAAGTGCGAGGCTGGCTCTGGGAGATGGGAATCTCCCAGTGCCAGCCCCATGACTGTGATCAGTCGTCTACATGTGCCATACTGCACAGTAATTACTCCTGAACAAATTTGCTACTTGTATTTACAGGTAGCAAGTTTACTTGAAATTAGAGCAAATTACTGTGTAGTAAGTGTCTGCATGTGTGGATGGTGACACTTACTGCACAGTAATTTGCTCTAATCTTGAGTAAAGCATCTTGTGTAGATGCACCCTGTATCCCAACTTCCCATGCTCAATAGCTGCTGATGTCTCTTTCCTCTAAGAATTTGTCCAGTCCCTTTTTGAATTTGACTAAAAGATCAGATTCCACAACATCTGGTGGCAATGACTTTCATACTTCAGTAACATGAAGGAAGAAGAAGTACTGCACTATGATGATCTACAAAATTTATTCCAATATTCCCCAAGGTATAAGTTGTCTTTCCACTCTAAAAGCTGCTAGGAAAGAAATGTTGAAGATGGAGGAAGCTCTTAACATAGGGTTTCAGAGGGAAAGGGATGGCTTCATTTCCTAAAGAGGGGATCAGCTTTCAAAAGTTTTTAGAAACTTGCCTTAATACTGTAAAGAGTTTTTATTTGAAAACATAAATGGTGAATCAGACCTGATGTAAAATGGAATTACTTATTTTTTTTAAGTACTTCATAAAGAATTGTCCATTGGAAATAACTTTTCTAAGATGTGCTTTCAACAGTTCTTATATCTCTCTGGACAACCTCATTTATATTTGCTTATCTTAATGTTTCAAGAAATACGTTATATCTGCTCTAAAACATTATTCTTTTCCTTAGGCCCTAGGAAAATTCTGTGTGGTTTTTAACTGTTTTGAAGGTTTGGATTATAAGGTAAGGCATAACATGTTCTTCATGTCAAATATTGTAACAGGGCAATACTGTAGAGCAGAATAAACATAATTCTTTGAAACATGACTGCCAGTTGCATTAGGTCTTTCAGGTTTTTAACTAATCAACAGAATGGTGTTACAAATTACCAAAGAGAATATTTAAATACTAATTTAGAACTTTTCTATGAACCATATTTGATTTTCCTGGGACTGCATCCCATCTTCAAAAGAAATATTTTTCTCTTAGATCGATACTATAAATATATTAATTTCTGTGTTAAAAACTATTTTTAATTATGGAAATAGTATATTCAATCCTTCCAAGAGAAAGTGAAAAGAGTTATATTTAGATATAAGCATTCAGTTTTGGATCCAGATTGATTTAGATAAGAATTGGAGAACAGTCTCTCTCTACCTTTCCACTCCCTACAGATCAGATCATTTCTCACTCGCGTGCTCTTGTGCTCTCTCTCGTGCTTAAAGAACGTGGCAGATTTTCAAAGACTAGTCTTAGGGAGGGTTTTCATCTAACATTTTTCTACTGTTTTAACTAACAAAACTAATTTCTGTACCTTTTTTAAAGATGATGGGAAAACTTTTCTGTGGACTAGTTCAGTCTGGAGCGTGGTGTTGTTTTGATGAATTCAATCGAATAGATATAGAGGTTCTCTCTGTAATTGCTTCACAGCTTCAGACAATCAAGGCAGCAAAAGATAGCCATATTGTCAGGTATTTGTATCTCCTTGCTCCTTTTTCAAGTAATAATGCCTTATGCAACTACCTACTGAATGCTTTAGGCCTAGAGAGGTACTTTAATTTCTATTAGAATTCTTTTCCATACTGTGGTTGAACTTGTGATAACAGCTATGAAATTTTTAAATGCAAGTGTTATCAGTAAGATTTCAGAATAATTTCTTTTAGAGGCTGGGCATCTTTTTTTTTCGGTTTGTTAGGAACAATAATACAATTGTTTCGCCAAATTATTATATAGACTATCACAGCTGGGGTGGAATGATTAAAGTCTTGCACTACCAGAACAGTACTGTACTTGCAGGTAAAAATCCTTATCAGCATTCTTCAGAAAAAGTTTGTTAGAAAAAGGTAATCAACTGTAACAAACATACTTTTAGTTGCATGAAAGGGCACGTCTACGTGTGTGATTAATGTGCATAAATAAACTCTGGAGATTATTGCTCCAGAGTTTATTCATGAGGAGTATGTGGAGCCTGGTCAGAGCAGCTGGGGCTGGCAGGAGACCTGCGGGGGTCAGCCTGCTAGCCCAGGGCTGCTCCAAAAGGGTTCCACATGCCCAGGCTTCGAGCGTCCCATGAGCTGCCCTGCCCCTGCCTGTGCCCCACTCCTTCCCGCACAAAAAAAGCCAAAATGCCACTTTTTGGGTTGCCCCAGGCTCCACAAAAGCGATACAGACCTAAATCTTCTCTACGATAGCAGAAGTGCATTGGGCTCACTTTAGTTATGCTATATGTAATTGGGAAGGAGGAAACTATGAAAAGCCTTTAAAGTACAAGGACCTTATATCCTCAGCATAGAACTACTTGGTGATAGTCTTTTCTGTAGTAGCACAGAGGCGGATGCTTAGAGCACATGGGTAAAGAGATATTTGGGGAGTGAGCAAGTCCTTGGCTGTGCAGTTATACTGACCAAAAGTATTATGTGGCTTGTGTGTGCGAGTGCAGAAGTGTCACTAGTTACTATAGCCATTGACATCAGTAACAGATGCACTTTTCCTTTTTTCCATGCTAGAATCTGACCCTTGCCAGTCTTCCCTGGAAGGATATTTTGGAGGATTTTGACCCTCATTATTTTATCTTGTTTTACCCTGATGATTTTGGTGCATTTATTTATTTGTTATTTATTTATATTTTTAACATTAGCATTGAAACACATTACATTATTATCCAATTTGTTTGAAGAAACATTTACCTTTTTTTCTAAATGATTAATAATACATTTTATTTAATAGATTTGTATTGGAAGGAAAAGAAATCCGTATCAACACAACATGTGGAATCTTTATTACTATGAATCAGGGGTAAGTGATACTATAGTCTTGTTAAAGAATGCAGAAGCATAAACTTCCTAATTTCCTCTCTGGTGCCTCATGGAAACATTTTACTAAGGAATTTTTACATAAATGTCTTCCAGATTATAGTAATTGTTTGTTTAAAAACTACGGTTATGCATTCCTTCCTCTGTATGTTGTTCTAAGATTCAAAAGGGGTAAGACAATATTTCCCCTAAACAATGGTAGTTGTGCGGGCCGGGAGCAACCCAAGCCCTTTTCTGCGCTGCACGCGGGCTGTGGCCAGCAGCCCGGGCACGCCGGGTTGGAGAGGGAAGGCCGTTGAGCTGGAATTAGGCACAGACGCGTATCGGTAGTTTAAAAGATTGTTTACTTACACCGAGATGGCAGTGGTGCAGGCTGGAAAGCTTGCTTAAGTTGCGGTTACAGACAGGAAAGAAGAGAGGCGGACAAGAGTTCTAGACTCGTGAACTCTAGCCCAATCCGGCTGAAGGCTCTGAACACGCGAGCCCGTCGTGTCAGCCAAAGAAAGTACTCGTCCGGAAGAGCTCTGAATAAACTCACACGAAGTTTGCTAGGCTCCGTGGGTCCTTTTGCTCACTCATTCACACGGAGTTTGCTAGGCTTCGTGGGTCCGGTTCTCTTGCGCGCGGGAAGGGATACGTCTAGGAATCTATCGGCGACGGGGAGAGGCTAGAGGTTGATCAGACCTCTGTTGCCTGCTTGAAATGCGTTGGGTCCGTAAGGATCCGCAGCGCTTAGAGATTGTTACACAGCGTGAAGTCTCCTCCTTCCTTGTTCGTGGAGTCCTCCAACTTGGGCGGAAACCACTCAAGCCTCTTATACAGCTAGCAAGCCAATCACTAGCCGCCACGTGTGAATAATTTAGAACT